ACCCCGTTTTCACATTTCAAACTCAACATATTATAACAACACAACAACACGTGATATAAATATACATCTCATTTAGAGGGAACGACAAATCATCTATAATTTTGGGATGTTGCAGAGGGAATGCCGGGAATAAACATTCCTCTGCTTTGCTCTGTTTCATGATCACATTGTTGGCAAAATGAATCTCAGTTAACATCATGGGCCAGCCCGTTCTCACTCCCGAGGCGTAACATGCCGACGTTTTGTCACGTCCCGGGGCGTTCCTGAGGAACGCAAAAGGAGACCTTCGGCATTCTTATGGTACGTGGCGGGTTATGGGCGAAATCCACTGCAATGACGCTCCCGCGGTAATAGACGTTCCAGCCCTGTATTCCAGCCCTAAACCTAACCTTATCCCTAGCCCTAACCATAACCTTTTTCCTGAGGTTAACCAGGACTTTAATGATGTTAAATAGCGTGTTTCTAAGCGATTTGAAGAAAAAGAGCGAACATGTGTAGATTGAGTCCATACGGTTCTCATATTTCCTCACTTTTCCGAGGTCGTCATTTAGTAACGTAGTGGGTAGCCGAAAACGTAATATGTTGACGATTTGTCACCTAGCCTAAAATGTTACGCTTTGGGAGTGAGAACGTGTTGCATGGGCACACTAAAACAAAAAATAATCAGGCGTCTTTAAGACACGGCTCTCTCAACCATCTCTCGCTGTCACCGTGATCATGCATGTGTAAATTACTAGAACTCTGAAGCCTGGAAAATGCTCGGAAAATACTGAAATGCCTGCTTTTTGTTTGTTTTTGTGATGCGGTGGGAGCGATGTGGCAGTTAACACAGAGACTAACCAAACAGTAGCTTCGATTGCTCTTTTGTTGAAGCATCCATGTTGCATCACATGTATGAAAGACATCAAATTCCCATCACTTTTGTCATTACACGAAAGAAGGCAACACGCCCCGAAGAGGACACATCCCCGGCTCTATGTACAGGAGGAACATGGCTTTTGTCACATCTCTAACACATCGGCGGTCGTTATTCAGCACAGACATGTGGAAACTGAACATCCATTTGGCTTCATGTAGTAACAACACCCAGGCTGTCTGTCCTACGGATGGCTGTCCTCGTGCCGAGGATTTTGTGGTCCACAAACGGAGCAGATGGACACGATAGGATCTGTTCAGTTCTTCTGTTAGTCATGATCGTACTATGTTGACTGACCCGTAGGGTAAAGAGTCACTTAAAGTCCTTAAAGTGTTTTTCTGCAGAGGATTTCAGAATTCAGTGGTCTGGTATCCTGAGACACAACCTCTCTTACTGTGTGATCTGCTCATCTTTGCACACACACAGCCCTGGACTTTACTCCACCTTCATATCCTGTTGCTTTGACATTGTGGCAAAAAAATAGTTCAGTTCACTAAACATCTGGTGCTTGATTTTCTGTATTGATGGATTAATGCCCATGAATCTTGTGGATAATCTGCTGTAAACAGGAAGTGTTGGGAATGGCCGGCTGCCCGTTATAAACTTAAAACATCTTTATGTTTCAATGCACAACGATGCACAGACTAACAGCAACCTCCCCAAATGACCTGAACATGAAACTAAAATACATTCATCTTATTACATGTTTACATGCTACCTCAAGCTTCACTTACAGGAAATGCACTGAAATCAGTGTCTTGGATTCAGCTAGAAGATTTCCACATCTCACCATATTTTGTTCAAATAACACTCAAAACACAAAGTTGCGTGGGAAGGCTTGGCAACATGTGAGTTTGCCCGCAGTGAGCTACTAATGGTATTTTCAGTCTCTGCTGTTTTTGTGATTTGGCGAAAAAACCTCTATTAAGAGCGCACGCAGAAATTCACATCCGTGTCGACACGTGTAGTCTCCTCCAGCTACAACAAACGGACACGAGGACACATGCAGACAGACACCAGCATCCAGATAAACAGCAGTGGGACTGAGTCCTGCTCGTAATGCTACTGGCGCTGAGAACATCGGGTTCTCGGGGCCACTGTGGAGCTAAAGCGTTGTGGTGCCACGTGGGCTGTTCTGAGGCGCCCCGTGCATCCTCTTCATCGTTCTCTCTGGTTTTCTTTGTTGTTTTTAGCAGCGATCGTCCTCGTCTGTGTCACTTAAAAGCTCGCTGGCGCCAGCTGGACTCGTCTGGCCCAAGTGCTTTCGGAAATGCCCATTAGGGACCTGCCAGGAGTGTCTGAGCTGAGGAGCCGAGCTTATGGCATTGGCCCGACCCAGGCTGGTGGCCACGGCGGTCTCAAAGGTAAGCGTCTCCTGCTTCTCACTCGCTTCGCCACTGCTTAGGTCCTCGTGGAATGGGAGGTAGGGCTCCGATATGTAACGATGAGGAGAGGGGTGGCTCGGTCCTGAAACGTGAACTCCGGATGACCCCTGGACTGCAGATAAAGGCCTGCTCTCCTTGTCAACCCTCAGTGAGGCCTCTGTGGGGCCAGCAGGAGCGTCCTGAGGCTGGCTCTGTCCCTCATTTGAGGCTTCTGCTGTTGAGGAAGAGGTTTGGGTTCGGCAGACGAGAGGAGAGTAGGAGATGTAAGGCCGTGGGCGAGAGGGAGTCTGGGGCAACTGGCGGCGATTACGAGGAGTACCAGACTCTGAGGCTGAGTGGGCAGGGCTGTCTGATGTGTTCACCTGCAGATAAATCAAACACAATATTGAGTAAAAGACTTTGGCAGAGAAGGACTGTTGGTTCTCATCCTGCAGTAGAAAACAGATCCTGATCCTATTATATGACAGATCTGCACAGCGGCCGGGTCAGGAAAGACTGAAGCACCTGTTTCTGTAAGGTCTGTGTGCGTCCTTCGCTAGGTGAGCGGGACCTTCTCCTTTCGCACGAAGGGTCTCGACTCCGCTCCTCAGAGTTGCAGCGCGACACATCAGGGGACAGCAGGTGGCGGCGCTCCTTGGATCGCCCTCTCTCGTGACTAATCGTTTCTTTGTGGTTGATTCTAGGACCTGAGAGCACAAGATCAAAGTGCCTTTGAGTCTGTGGCACCAAGACTTTGCAACAGTCTCCCCCTGCATTCAGCCTACGTACATCTATCATGCATGCCCACTCCCCCCCACTGTCACTCAGCACCGGATGCCTGCAGGGCTGCATTCTCAGCCCCCTGCTGTAGACCCTGTACACACATGACTGTACACCAACACACCCCACCAATGTCTCATCTCTGATGGAGATGATGAGACAGGGTACAGGGCCGAGGTAGTGCTCAGAAAAAACCTGAAGCTTAACATCCTTAAAACAAAAGAACTAATAATGGACTTCAGGAGGCACAGAAAGGTCCTCTAATCGCCATAAATGGAGAATGGGTGGAATCTGTCTCCACCTTCAGGTATCTGGGCACCCACATCTCCACTGCGCTCACCTGGACCCAGAACACCAACGCCCTGGTAAAGAAGGCCCAGCAGCAGCTGCACTTCCTTCACCCAGACCGGGAGCTGCTGCTTCCCTTCTACTACTCCTCAGTGGAGAGCAAGCTCTCCGACTGCCTGGGTGTTGGCAGTGAATATGGCAAATATAGAGATTATATAATTTAGGCATGGAATCAGTATTTTTTTTCACTGAGTAACTTATTGAAACAAAGATGTAAACAGAAGAAGAAATGTCAGAAATTCTTTCAGCCTCTAACGAGATGTGGCTGTCATTTAAGAGGAATTATTTACATATACATTTTATTGCTTTTGTGCTGTATTGCAGTACAAATATTTGCTCAAAATCACTCAGCGAAATATAAAGAATGAGAGGTGGCTCAAGACTTTTGCACAATAGTCTTTTTTTGACCAGTTTCCCCCCAAAACTTTACTCTGAATCAGAATCAAACCACAGCAGCTGCTTCACGGTTGTAATTAGTGACTGTTATGCCTTTTGGTCAAAAATGAGTAGTTAGTGCATAGTCTGATTAAGTTACATAAGCAAAGTGATAAATAAGTTCAAAGTTAAGAAATATTTTAAGTAATTCATGCTAAAAACAGTTAAAATGTCTGGGTTCGAAATTTGCTCAGAGTGAGACATCGTTACCACAAGCAATCTTTGTATTGTATGTGCGGAAATGGGAGCGAGGGAGCGCTCTGATCATTAACCTATCTTTGACGTGTTTTCTCCGTTAATGCCGTGAAAAGTGCTTCGGCAGTATTAAAAGAGTGAACGAGTTCATGTACACGCTAAGAGTGCCCTACACGCTTGTACCTTGGGAAACGTTCGTCTTTGTGAGTATTAATGTGTTCAGAAATAACTTTTATATGTGTTTACCTGGAGTTAGCGGCAATGCTAATGTAACGCACGTGTTAAGCTAGGCTAATCAGTAAGTTTGTCATTAAGATGTGTATTAGCTAGCAATTTATTTTCACTTTCTGTATGTTTCAGTTACAAATAAGAAATAGCAAAGAGAAGCCTTGAGAGAGGATAAGGCTTTAAAGGATCTTCATTAAAAGCAAGAAAAGCAAGCCTTGTGTGAAAGAGCTCGTCTATTTTGTTCGCTAGCTGTCTAGCGTCACATGGTCACGTGTCGTGAGGGCAGCATAGTGACCTCTGTAGCTCCTCTGTCGGGGCCTGTATGTGGCATCAGGGCTGATCCTCTCCAGAGAGTGCTGTTCCTGCCAGAGACCGTTCACACACTGGTCTCCGATGGTAGAGAAGGAGCGCTTCATCAGCCTGCTGTCTGCAGACATCCCAGGCTACATACATGCAAAACAACCAGAAGACGCATTATTTAAGTAACCAGGAATGACACCAATGAGCACACAAACTCTCTCTGGTGTCTGTAATAGTCATTTAAAATGTGCGGGCAAATTGTTTCTATTCACTGCTGTCGAGGAGCAAATACAAGCATATTAAATGCGCCCTGTGTGGATTTTAATAGTTTATTGATTTTTAAAGCACCTACTACTATACGATTTGTTACTGAATATAGGTTTGAATAAAGGTTATTACTCTTTATTACCTGAGGATCAGCAGCCAGCCTGGGCATGGACGACGCTCTGATAGATGCTGTACGCTGAGGTGATTTCATTAGCGTTGGGTCCTGCCGGGCCTGCTGCAGCACTTGGTTATACGCTACTACCTCTGGGACCTGCACAAATACCACAGAGGAGCAGGCTGAGCAAACCTTATACACTGCTTTTGCTCAGACTCGACATTCAAACATCGAATCAACTGAAAATCAACATTTTCTCAACCTTTATTGGAACAGATGATTTAGATTTCATAACAGCAAGTTGTTACCAGTGTGTGTAAATGATGATGGTGGTGGTGAATGCGGTAGGGGTGGTAGGGTGAATGGTAATCATCTTCATCGTCTTCCTCTTTCTCCTCTCTGGGGCGGGACAGCGGTTGCAGGAACATCTCTTGGGGAGAGATCGGGCTGAGTGCCACAAAACCTCCTCTGGTACTAAGTGGATGCAGAAAAATATCATGGGCCCGTTTGCTTCAACAACCAGAATTTGTATTCTCTGCCATCATAAATAACTGAAAGCTTGTAACTTTTGGAGGAGATTAAAAGTTTAATATTTACAGAGCAGATCCAGCACTATGCCTTAGGAATGACAGGGATTTGGCATTGCATAGGATTTCTTGTGGAAGAGAGGAAGCATCCATACGCTGGAACATAGGAGCGTGTTTCTACGAGGAGACAAAGAAACATGGAAACAGGAACAGGTCACTAGGATAAACATACAAGGGTAAGAAACATGAAAATCAAAGGGCCTCCTAACAACACTGCTTATGATACATATGTAAACTAGGGGTGGGGGAAAAATCGATTCTGTGTAGTATGGTGATATTTTGTTTGCTAATAATGTAT